AACACTGAGTCGGGAAACAAGAGGAGGTGTAGACAAGGGACAGAAGAATCTCTCCTGCTTCCCAACAGCTGACTGCCAGGCTGACCTCTGCCAAAGTGACCCAAGAACGACCAAGCGGCCTCCCAGCCCTGCCACCCAGCCCTGGAAGGCGGGGGAGGGCACTTACCTCATCATCTGACTGCAGGTACATGTGTGCAAACTCCAGCAGCTCCCGCAGCTCAGCCGTCTGGCTGTGGTAGGACGTGGCCTCCTGGGAGGAAGGAAGGACAGTGAGGTGAGCTGGACCCTGCTGCCAGATGGTGGAAGAGCCAGAGCACCTAGGATGTGCGTCCTCTGGCCCTTTCCCAGATCAAGGAGCCTGGAACAGGTACCAGCTCTCATGCTGATTGAAAAATTGAAGCTGCTTGGAGAGCTGGGTTAAGAAGGATTCTGAAGATCCGTGAGAAAAGGGTGCCTTGAATGATGAGCAATGTCTGCCACTGACAAGGAAACAGGCAAGAGCACACGTGGGCCCTGTTTGCCAGTGTTGCCCTAGACCCCCCCAAGGGGTTTCCCGGTTGGTGCAGGTTGGGGTTCCCCAGGGAAGAAGGGCAAAGGCCAATAGTGAGGATGATGAGGGTAGAGGTGAGCAGGCAGGAACGAACAGATATTTGTATACCTCCCACATCCCAGGCTGTGCTGGCAAGGTAGGTAGTCCCATCCCCGTTTTGCACGAGAGGCAACAGATTCAGAAGCATTAGCAGGGTTCCCAGGACCACGCGGCTGGTGGGGCTGGGTCTGAACCCAGGGCTCGAAGCACAACCCACATTTTTTCTTTTCACTTCCCATCCTGCCTTCTGAGGAAGCCAGAGGTTTTCACCAAACCACGGGGTCCCAAGAGCGCCTCGAAAGGCGATGCCCACCTCCCGGGGCTGGAAGTCCTCCTCCTCCAGGCCCCAGCGAGCCCTGTGGAAGCGGTAATACACCAGGTTCTGCTGCATGACACTGTCCTCTGGGTCAAAGAGCATGTAGCTGGCGGCGCTGCGGGCAGCCTGGCGGACGTCGTTCACTGCAGACAGATGAGGGGTGAGGGGCAGCCCTGGCACTGCTGGCACTGTCCGCCTTCACCTCGCCCACCCCTACCTCCCCACGCAGTGCAGCGCCCCGGCCTCCCTAGCCGTCTTCCAGACTACCTGTGGGCACCCCATCCCGCCCAAAGGTAATACAAGCGAGGATGTATTGGGCCCTTCCTGTGTGCCAGGCCCTCATTTAAGGCTCAACATTACTGTCATCCTCATTTTACAGACAAGAAATTCAAGGCCCAGAGAGGGTGGGTAAATCACTCAAGGTCACACAGCTGGAGAATAATGTCCCTGGGGAATTAGAGGCCAGTGGCGGACCTCAACTTCTTAGCCAACTGAACCCAGGAATGGTCCCCTGGTCCCTTGGTGCTCAGCCCCCCCACTCCAGTGCAGCCTCTCGAATCATGGCATCTCTGCATTGCGGGAACCTGGAGACTGACCATCTCAGCCCCCCTTGAGGCCAGGGTCTCCCACAAATGAGGAAAGCTTTAAGTCCTGGTGCTCCTTTTTATTAGCTATGTGACTAATGGCCCCTTGCCCTCTATGAGCCTCAGTTTCTCATCTGGAGAATGGGTTCAATAATGGCAGTTGCATGGACAGTAGTGAGGATGGATGATGAGGGTGGTGAGTGGATCGAGTGAGAGAAACAGATGTGGCAGAGCTTTGTAAACTATCCAGTGCTTGCAGCTATTGGCTATCTAGTCAGACAGGGCAGTCCAAGGCATCCAAGAGGCCCTGGAATCTCCCCCAAGGCTGCTCTCTAGTCTCTCCCACAAGCCCCTCACCTGACCCACCAGCGCCGGATGGGTGGATGGGTGTCTCCCATCACCCTCCCACTCCCCAGGGGCCTCAATTCTGAGGGACAGCTTCCTGTGACTGTGATGCTCCCAGTGCAGTGCTCTCTGCTCCCCCTGCCCTGCCCTGCCCGACCCCCGCCCACCAGGAAGCTCACACTTATAGTAGGCAAACTGCAGGTAGTGATACATGGTGGCCACGAACTTCTCCACGAAGAAGCCACCCACATTGGGGGTCAAGTCGGCCTCACAGTCCACCTTGCACTGCAGAGATTCTGCAAAGAGATCTGTGGGGTGGGAAGCAGTGGTGAGAAGCCGAACAACCGGACGGGGTGGTAGAGATGCTCCAGGCCCAGCTCTGCCTGCAGAGCCCGTTGCAATCACAGGAGAGCAGGAGGGCAGGATAAGCAGCACTGAGGAAGGCTACTGAGGACAGGGCTGACTCACTGCCCCAGCTCGGCTCTCTGAAGAGTGGTGGGTGAGGTTTGGATGCAGGACCAAGGCCCAGATGGAAACGCTCAGCAAAGCCCATCCTGCTTCCCTCCGAGGGACCCCAGCAGTTAGAAACCCCCAGACTATGTGATTTCTGGCCACAGACAGCTTTTGGTGCACAAGTGCTGGGCAGCTTCCCATCTCAGCTGGGCACCTTTGCACCTGCGTTGACCTCTGCCTGGGAAGTTTGTGCACCCACCTCCCTGGGTGCTTCTTGGGATGTCACTGCCTCTCTCCACCAACGCCCAGCACCTTGGACACCCCTGACTCAGCCCTTCTGCACCCAGCGGCTGGGGATCTGTTCCACTGTCACGCTGCATGCTCCCAGAGGTGGGGTGACAATGACTTCTGACTACCTCCAAAGCTCTTTGTAGGGGCTCCATAAATGCTCTGGGGCCCGAGTTGCTCTGAGCAGGGCCCAGGGGTGGTTGGAAGGGATGCTCCGTGGGTTTGGGTGGGGGTACCTGCTATGGCAGGGTAGAAATCCTTGAAGTCCACCTGCTCATGGGCACCCTCGCAGCCGGCCAGACACCGGGCGAAGACAGCCAGGTACTCGGCCAGGGCCCGCTCCATGTCCTCTGCACTACTGCGGAAATCCCCGCTGTTGTAGAGCTTGACCGCCCTGAGGAACACGGCCTGGAGGGGAGCGTGGTGGGGGTCAGGGGAATCCAACACTCCCCTCCTCTGCAAGTCCTATGGGGAGATTAGGGGGGCACTTCAGGGCCAGCCCTGCCCCCACACCCCACCTCATAGGGCTGTGCCTCCAAGTCGGTGAGGGGCTCCTCAGACGCGTCCAGCAGCCCCCGGTAATAGTTCAGATACTTGGCGGTTAGCTCGTGCTTGGGGTTCTTCTGAAGGAAGGTGTAGGCCGCGGCCAACGCCTTCTCCAGCCGATTAGCCTGGAGGTGGGGACAGAGTTGGTCAGTAGGGCCACAGCCGGCTGCCCTCAGCGCACAAGCAGGCTTGGGGACCGAGGACAGCACCCGATCAGCCTTGACGGACGGGAAACCCGACGCCGGCTGGGGGCGATGAGGCCCAGCAGGGCGCGGGAGCGCGTGGGGAACTCGGGGGTGGGAGCCCACCTTGAACTGCGCGTAGTGCAGATACTGGTAGGGCAGGCGGCTCTGGAAGTCACGTAGCAGCTGGCGCGGCGGGTAGGGCACCTGGAAGGCGGGCAGCGTCCGCTTGCAGCGCCGCAGGCAGGCGGCGCGCTCCAGGACGTGGCCGAAGAGCTGCAGCTCGCGGGCCCACTCGTCGTCGTGGCCGCCGTCGGGGCCGGGCTCCGGCCCCAGGGCCGAGGCGGCAGGCGGCGCGGGCCCGCTGCAGTTCGCGTGGCAGAAGGCCTCGCTGTCCCGCAGCAGCCGGTGCAGCCGCAGCGCCGCTTCCAGGTAGCGCGCGCTCTCGCGCCAGCTCTCGCCCTCGTACTGCTCCAGCGCGTGCCCGTAGGCCGCAGCCAGCGGCATCAGGTCCTCGGGCGGGAAGCCCCGGAAACTGTACTTCTCGTACTGCGCCTCGGAGCTGCCCAGCAGCAGCCACAGCAGCACCCAAGCCGTCCTCCCCATGCCCCTACCGCGCCGGCCGGCCCGCTCCCGGAGCGGAGAAAGTGTCGGCGCCCGGCCGGCGGGCGGGCGGACGGGGCGGGGGCGGAGCCGGCGTGCCCGCTGGGTCTTAGCGCCGGGCGCTGTGGCAGGCAGGCTCGTAGTGGCCCAGGTCAGGTCCCCGGAGGGGCGCAGGGCTGCGTCTCCCCTTTTCGGAGGGCGCTATGGTATGTTCAGTTCCCCGCGTTGGTCCGGCCCCCTGTGCTTGCGGCTTCCCCTCGACAGATTTGGGGTGGAGGACGCTTCCCGCAAGGTTGGGGAGCCTAGAAACCCCCCCCCACACACACACACACAAAGACGTGTTCTTTCACGATCCCCCCCCACCTTAAGGTCGTGAAAGAAGTGCTACCTCCTGCTATTCTGCCCAAGCGCTGAGACCTAGTTTTCCGTTCATTACAGCGCCCCTTCTGCACACGCCCCACGCCCAGTCTTGAAGGGGTCACTCCGGGTGCTCGCCTAGCCCGCGCCGGGGGGCGCACACCTGATTCCGTCCGGCACACCGTCCGCTCTCACCACCTCCTCCTACTGAATCTCCATCCCACGTCAGAAAGTCCAGCTTCTGCAGGACGAAGCGGCTCCTCGTCCCTGGCTGGAGAAGCCGTCCGTGGGACAGTAGGGATGGGGAACAGCCTCAGATTGCGAAGCCTCGCCAGCCCTCTGAAGAAGCTTCTGATTGGGGAGGGTGGGGTACCAGCAAAAGAAGCAAGAGATGCCTCAGCCTGGCTTTAGGACCCCGGGGCTCCGGAGGATTTTAAATTTTTTTTGGTAGGGAGTCAAGTCGGACTTCTCATCTTTCTGGAACCTCCCTCCCCGGCTAGGCCCCAGGACTCTCAGGCCGGGTGGGGGGATGAGAAGGGAATCTGGAGTTCTTTGTGATACATTCCTCGGTCTTCAAAACTCTGGGCCTGGCCCTCTCTTTCTATTCCACCCCCGCCCTCACCCCGCCAGCTCAGTCTCCCCAGCCCCCATTCCACGTGGACTGGCCAGGGCGGGGGGTGGGGAAAGAGGACAGGAAGAGGGGGAGCCAGCTGGGGAGTAGGGGAGGGGGGGGAAGGAGCTTGGTGGCGGCCCTTCTTTCTCTCGGCCTCACTGCCCGCCGTCCCAGCTCCAGGCACCATGTTCCCGGCGTGGTCCCCCAGCCACACCTTCCTCTGGCCCCCACTGCTGCAGATGCTGCTGCTGCTTTTGCACGCCGTGGGGAGGGGGCTGGGCCGCGCCAGCCCGGCCGGGGGCCCCCTGGAAGACGTGGTCATCGAGAGGTACCACATCCCCAGGGCCTGCCCCAGGGAGGTGCAGATGGGGGATTTTGTGCGCTACCACTACAACGGCACTTTCCAGGATGGCAAGAAGTTTGATTCGAGGTAATGGGTTGGGTGGCCCCAGACTCACCACTCCTCCCCCCGGAGCCCTCTTAGGCCCTGGGGGTTTCGTTGCCCTTTTAAGCGGTGTCTGCATTCGGGTACTCCCTCCAAGTACAGCTCTCAGTTTCAAACTTTTGCCTCTCCAAGGACCCCAGTTTCCTTCACACGAGCTCCTCATATTCCCCAGGATGTATGATAATCCGGGTGAACTGCTCTACTTACCATTCCTTTACTTAAAGACACCAGGAGGGGGACATTCTGGTCCACAGGGTTGGGGGGAAGAGCGTGGTCTCTGATACATGTGAACCCTCCAGTGGTCTCAGCCTGGGACCCCCACATGCCCACCCACCCTGCCTCCCTTCAGGTTCCAGCCCCCAGTTTCAGTGCCTTTGTCATCAGAGAACAGGGAGTGGAGCTTTGGGGGGCGGGAGGGGGTGCAGTGAGTGGCACCCTTCGGCTAAGTGGCCTGCATCACAACAGGGCAGCTGGATGGATCTGGATGTGTAGCGACCCTGTCTGTCCACGTGTCACCGGGTCGGACCTGCCACCCTCAGAGGGTTTGCACACTGCTCTCTCCGGGTTTCCCTGCACCCCCAGCTCCCTCCATCTTACTTAGCTCTCAGGCCAGGGCTGCTGCCCATCTTGCAAGCCTTGGGGTTTGAGAGACCAGCTTCTGGGCTGGTCCAGAAGCTCTGGCAAGTCCTCTTTTGTTGGGGGGGGGGGCAGGGCAGGGCTGGGTTGAACCTTGGGTCTCAGTGACACACACAAACCCCCACACCACACCCAAGAAGTCAGTTCCTCCCAGACCCTTCCCTGAAACACACAAGTCGGCCCAGGGGAAATCAGTGGCCATGGCTTTGGGGACAGGCGGTATATTGGGTAAGAACACAAATTCCAGAGTCCAGGACCTTGGGTTCAAATTCAGGCTGTGACTACGGATAAGAAGTATTGCCTCTTGAAGCTTCACTTTTTTTTAAATCTGAAAAATAGAGATTATTATAAACAAGCGGAAAAAAGCGAGTCCCTACTGCCTAAGGCTGACGATAGGACTCAAACTAGCTGATGAATGAAAGTGGACTTGAGACAGTGCCTGGAAGTCCAAAAGGGTTCAATGCACATTAGCCTTGACCCTGGGGAGGACCAGATGCCCTGAAAGTGTTTGATGGGCGCTTGGGCCCTCACAGGGCACCATGAAGGAAGCAGGGCAGCGGTAAAAACAGCTCTGTGGGCAGAATGAGGGGTAGGCAGCTGCCAGCCGCACAGTCCCGAGTCCTCCACTGCCAGGAGTGGGGGAGGGGTGTGGCTTTGGGGGATGGTGTCCCTGGGGGGGTCCCTGGGAGCCAGGCTGGGCCCAGTTTATGCAGAGCTGAGCCTGGAAAACTTCCACCATCCATGCCCCTCTTTGATCAGACTTCCAGCCTCCCTTAACTTCTGCAAACTTAAAATAAATGAAAACTGTAACTACAAACAAATAAAGCCACGGCAGTTTCAGAACAGGCTCTTTCAGAGTTGAAATCCAGTCCTGGTCCCCCACCCGCCCTGCTTCCCCTTCCTTTCCTCCTTGGCTCACCCCTGGTGCAGCCCCGGCACACGGGCTTCGGCGCCCTGCAGACCACATGTGAGCTGTGACCTTGAGTGCGGCAAGTCTCGGTTTTTCTCATAAAAAAAGGTTTTTCTCATAAAGAAAGAACAGTGTCTCAGTTTTTTTTTTTCTTATAAGAAAAATGAAAACCATCATGTTCACCTCACAGGGGAAAGAATTAAAGAAAACCATGAATGCAAAAATGCCAAGCATTTAGCCCTGGCTGGAGTGGCTCAGTGGATTGAGCACAGGCCTGCAAACCAGAGAGTCGCAGGTTCAATTCCCAGTCAGGGCAAGTGCCCGGGCTGTGGGCCAGGTCCCCAGTAGGGGGCGTGTGAGAGGCAACCACACATTGATGTTTCCATCCCTCTCTCCTTTCCTTCCCCTTTCTCTAAAAATAAAAATATATATATATATATTTAAAAATAAAAAATGAAATGCCAAGCATTTAACCAGCATGTCCTACATGCTCGATAAGTGTCCCCTTTGTCCCCCATGAGGTCCTTACCTTCCCCTCGGGAGAGCAGCAGCAGACGGGCAGGCCTGCACCCACCCCTCGCCTAGAGTTCGCGGGACTTCCTTTTTGTAACGGCCCAGCCTCTTAAGCTGGAGGTCCCGGCTGACCTCTGGGGGGAGGTGAGGAGTGTGTGAATCCACACTCGTGTACGGAGAGGGGTTGCGTACGCAGGTGTGTACGTGTACGTACCTACTAAGCGTGTATGCGACCAGGGCAGAGGGAAGCATCTGGCTGCGTGTACCCTCCCCTGAGTTCAAGGTATCCCATCCGTCCCCTCTGTCTCCCCAGTTATGACCGCAGCACTCTGGTGGCCATCGTGGTGGGTGTGGGGCGTCTCATCACTGGCATGGACCGAGGCCTCATGGGCATGTGCGTCAACGAGCGGCGGCGCCTCATCGTGCCTCCCCACCTGGCCTACGGCAGCATCGGCGTCGGTGAGAGGGGCCGGGCACCGCGGGCAAAGAGGGTGCCGGGGGGTGGAGCCAAGGACCTCATGGCTGAAAGGACTGAAGCTTAGAGAGGGAGAGTGACTTGCCCAAGGTCACCTGCCTACAAAATGTGAACCACAGCCGGCCTGCAACTGCAGTGTCTGTCTCCTGCCACCCCCGCCCTCCGTGGAAGGAAAGGAAATAACAGTAACGGGACCCTGGGTGGGATCACAGCTTGATCAGGAAGAAGGGGACCCATAGGGGTGGAGAGGGGGCTAAGCTCCTGCTGCCTGGCCCTCACAGCGGGGCTCATTCCCCCGGACGCCACGCTCTACTTTGACGTGGTCCTGCTGGACGTGTGGAACAAGGCGGACACTGTGCAGGTGAGCACCCTGCTGCGCCCGCCCCTCTGCCCCCGCACGGTCCAGGACGGTGACTTCGTCCGCTACCACTACAACGGCACCCTGCTGGCCGGCACCACCTTTGACACTAGGTAAGGGTGGAGGGAGCCCTGGGGTGCGGGGGGCTGTGGCGTGGGAGGGGGTCCGGGGCCCATCCCACCCGCCTCCAGCAGCATCACGGCTGCCGGGTTCTCTGCAGCTACAGCAAAGGCGGCACGTACGACACGTACGTGGGCTCCGGCTGGCTGATCAAGGGCATGGACCAGGGGCTGCTGGGCATGTGTCCTGGAGAGAGAAGGAAGATCACCATCCCTCCATTCCTGGCCTATGGCGAGAAAGGCTATGGTAAGGGCAGGCGAGGATTCCCGGGGACGCTCCGGAAGCGGGCTGCCCCGTGCAGTTGTCTGGGCTGCGTGCTGTGCCAGGGCACCCAGCCAAGGAGGTGAAACCTGGCCCTTGGTGACCATCTCGTTAAGATGGGGTGCCTTCCGATTCATGCGAAGGCCAGGGGAAAATCTAGCTCAGGCCTCACAGGGGAAGAAGCAGGGCTGCTGAGGGCAAGGCAGGGGCTCTGGTGAGCAGGGTTAGAACCTCTGGGCAGGGTTCCCACAGAGGCCTTCCTGAGGCAAGAAGGAGCTGGGGTTTGCTCTCCACCTGTATGGTTCAAGCCTATCCCTTCCCCAGGGACTGTGATCCCCCCGCAGGCCTCCCTGGTCTTCCATGTCCTACTAATCGACGTCCACAACCCGAAGGACACCGTCCAGCTGGAGACCCTGGACTTACCACCCGGCTGTGTCCGCAGAGCCGTGGCCGGCGACTTCATGCGTTACCACTACAACGGCTCGCTGATGGACGGCACCCTCTTTGATTCCAGGTCAGGGGGCTCCCAAGGCGGGGGTTGGGGCTGGGGGTAGGCAAGAAGCTGTCAGGAAGGAAAGTGCCAGGAGCTGGGGGTCACCTAGGTAGCAGCCAGGGTGGCTCCGAGCTGCCTCCAAGGGCAGGGCCCTTGCTGACCTCCTCACTGGCCTCCCTGCCTTGTCCTGCAGCTACTCCCGAAACCACACGTACAATACCTACGTGGGGCAGGGCTACATCATCCCGGGGATGGACCAGGGGCTGCAGGGCGCCTGCATGGGGGAGCGCCGGAGGATCACCGTCCCCCCGCACCTGGCCTACGGGGAGAATGGGACTGGTAGGCCTGTGGTACCTCCGCTCCCGCTCAGTGACCTTCCCCAGCTCTGCCCCTCTCATCACAAAAACCGGTCACCCACTCCATTCCTGCCACACGGACTCCATCCTCTTCTCTAGGGCAGTCTCCCCCTCCTCCTCCTCCACGCTGGGTTTGGGGAGGGGGGTGGTTATGCAAGAGCAGAAACAGTATAGCCCCAGGAAGCAGAAAGACCTGGATTGAGACCCAGCCTTGCTGGAAGCCTCAGCGTCCTCACCTATAAAATGGGACTGATCACCTTGATCAGCTGGGTAAGTTCCTGGGAGGCTGCAAGACAGTGTGAAGGGCTTTCCCCCTGGCAGGTCCCCCCTCCCCCCTCCCTAGAAGACCTGATCACGCGGACACACACCCTACCCCATCCCACCCTCGCTGGAAACCCCAGAGCGGTTTCATGGAGACCTCGAGTGACGTCCCGAGACTCCCAGCTGACCGCACCCCCCTATTCTGGTCCCAGGAGACAAGATCCCTGGCTCAGCTGTGCTGATCTTTGATGTCCACGTCATCGACTTCCACAACCCTGCAGATCCAGTGGAAATCAAGACACTGTCGAGGGCCCCAGAGGCCTGCAACGAGACCTCCAAAATTGGGGACTTCGTTCGCTACCACTACAACTGCTCTCTGCTAGATGGCACCAGGCTCTTCTCCTCGTGGGTCTGGGGCTGGGCGGGGGGGTGGGCCGGGTGAGGGGAGTCCTCATAGCACCCCCTTCTCTGTACGCTCCCATCTGTGGGGAGCATACAGGGAAGAAAGGGGGAGAGGGTGAAGCTGGCAGCAGGGGAGCTGAGCCCTCAGGGCCACACTTCAGGGGCAATGGCAAGACGAGAAGGGTGTCCCATCTTTGAGCCACTGGGCCCAGCACTCTGGGTTGGGCACTGGGACGAGTGACCTGTGGGTAGGGAATGGGGGGCATGATGGGTATGAACTGCTGGGAGACAAGGAGGGGCACTGACCCGGGAGTCCGCTCTTTTCCCAGGCATGACTATGAGGCCCCGCAGGAGGCCACTCTTGGGGCCAAGAAGGTGATCGAGGGCCTGGACACAGGCCTGCAGGGCATGTGTGTGGGAGAGAGGCGGCAGCTTGTGGTCCCCCCGCACCTGGCACACGGGGAGAGCGGAGGTGAGAGGCGGGGACAGGCCTGATCCATCCCTGTGCCCCTGACAGATGGTTCTGTGAACGCCTCACAGCCCCCTCTCCAGCCCCCAGGACGGGGACGGAGGCCTGCAAGTTGGGGAGCATGCTGGGCGGGCTGCAAAGCCAGGCCCAGCCTCTGGCCCCAAGGGACTGTTTCCTTCTATCCTCTGTGCCTCCCTCCAGCCCGGGGCGTCCCTGGCAGCGCTGTGCTGCTGTTTGAGGTGGAGCTGGTGTCCCGGGAGGAGGGGCTGCCCGAGGGCTACCTGTTTGTGTGGCATGATGACCCTCCCGCCAACCTGTTCGAAGACCTGGACGTCAACAAAGATGGCGAGGTCCCCCCAGAGGAGGTGGGTGAGGAGTTCTGTCCTTAAAGCGACCATCCCCATATTCTCTCCCCAAAAGCAGCTACCTTGCATGGTGGCATCTGGCAAGAACAAGGTGTGTGTCCACCCTCCTGCCTGCGCCCGTGTTCCTGCCCCTCGGCTGGGTCCTCGTGCTTAGGTGCCTCGTGCCTTGCTTTCTCCGCGGCACCCATGAGCCCTGGGCCTGCGCCTCATGCCCACCCTCCCCGGCTCTCCTCCTCCCCAGTTCTCCACCTTCATCAAGGCTCAAGTCAGTGAGGGCAAAGGACGCCTCTTGCCGGGGCAGGACTCGGAGAAAACCATAGGCGACATGTTCCAGAACCAGGACCGCAACCAGGACGGCAAGATCACCGCCGAGGAGCTCAAGCTGAAGTCGGATGAGGACCAGGAGCTGGTTCATGAGGAGCTCTGAGGATGGAGCTGGGGCCCCGGGCCGGGCAGCAGCGCCCACTTCTGGGGGACAGTGGGCGGGGGGACTTGCAGCGGGCACCCGCCCCTCTTCTGGGATGAGGTCTGAGAGCGTCCGCAGAGCGGTCAGAGGTGACCACCCTGGCCTCCCTACCAGCCCGGAGAGACGTCCACCGCACAGACCTCTCCTTGGTTTTCCTGGTCCGACCCACACCGCTTCCTTCACGAGTTTTGGAGTCACAGGGCCAACCTGGGGACCGGTGGAGGTTGGGGTTGGACCAGGCCATTGCCGGCCCCTCCCCCACAATGCCACGGCACCACCGGGTTGGTCCCAGCTCATCATTTATTTCCCCAAACTTCCTTCTCTTTGTCCTTCTCCTCACCATCCCCAGTCCTGCCCCCTCTCTGTCACGGCAGCTCCCAGAAGCATGAACAGGGCAGGCAGAACCCCCACCCTCCCCCCACAGCTCTGGCTGGTGCCACGGAGGGTTGGCACCAGGAGAGCAGCCCTAACACTGTACGGTCCCCACCCACCTGGCCCATTCCCCCTCGAGGCTGGGGTGCCCCCAGGAGCTGCAGGTCCCGGCTGGCCTGCGTGTGACCTTTCATCCCTAAGGAAGGCTGCCTTCGCTAAGGGACTGAGGAAGAGGAGGAAAATTAAAAAATGGTGGTGAGGAAACCCATGCAGCTGGATCCCGGGGCTATAAAATGAAGTTCTTGGTTTGGAGCCGAGTCCGGAGGGTGCACCAGGGACTGCCGGGTGCTGGGGGTGGGCGGGCAGTGTGCACTCCCAAAAGGCTGAACTGGTGCTGGATCTCCTTCTCCTTTGTGACAAATAAAAGACTAAACCAGAGGCCTGGGGAAGTGGTCTTTCATTGGGGGGAGGCCTTCAGACCCAAAGACTGGGAGGAAAGAGGAACCACAGGTTGTCCCCACGACTCTCCCTTCAGGACACCGTGTCCCTAAGTCTCAGTCTCGTCCCTCCAGAGGTTCCTGCCTCCCTGACGCCCAACTCTGGGTCCTGACCCGGGGCCAGGAGCCCCAGTCTGCCAGAGGGAGGGTAGGGAGTGAGTGACCCCGGAGGAGAAGGGGCCACAGGGGAGGTGTGGAGAGATAACCCTCGTCTCCTATGTGTCCCACGTGAATGGGAAGACCTCAGACACCACGCACGAAGTTCAAACTGCATAGGATGGACTCGTCTTTCCCGTGGATCATCCCCAATGCTGTGGCGTTCCCACCTCCCCTGCTCCCGGCTGCCAGGCACCGCCACCTGCTCCATCCTCCCACTAGTCAGAGGAAAGGTCGCTGAGTTCAGATCTCTGGTGTGGGGGCATGGGGGGAGCGTTGGCATCAGCCACCAGCCAGGCTGTCTGCTGTCACCTGCCCTGCTGGCCTCCGGTCAGTTCAATGGGGATGACTGTCAGGAGCCAACCAACACCTGTCCCCTGACACAGTTGGGACAGATAAGATGCATCTGCACAGCAGAGGCAACTGTGGCTGGACTTCCGGTCTATCTCTCCCTGCATGTCTGTCTTTGTGATTAATAGGTGGCAGGATTTTTAGACACCTGCATTTCAGGTCCAATGATCTGCAGAATTCCAATGAAGTCATACAAAATGATTTCTTGGTCAGAGAACAAAGTCCCCCTTTAATGAAGTAGCCCCTGAATATCTAAAAGTTGATGGAGTAACAGCCCCTCCTCTACCTTAGACAAAAAATAAATATCAAGTAGAATTAAGCAGATAAGAAAAGCAGGACATCAAAAGCTCTATTCATACAGCTAGCTCTAATTGTCTAATTTGTGACTCTCCCAGTCAAAATAACCTTTGTTTAACATAACTTCATGCGGTGCACCTGCTCCTTTAATGTTACGTATCAATCTCTATAAAAATAAAGCTTGAATCAAACTCTTCGAGTTCGTTCAGACCCACAGAGGCTGGCTGTTCTCTGGCATCCAATCCGGTGTCTGACTCATTCCTCGCCTGCACCGTCCATCCTTCGGGGACTCTGAACCCTGCCAAGGCTGGACCCCGGCAGATGACCCAAACTATTCTGGGAAGGAGTGGAAAAGGCGCTCAGGAGAGAGGACAGAGCCAGCCACTGAGCCGCTCCCACAAGCACCGCTTCCTTGCCCAGGACGGGCCCAGCCTTAAGTGGCAACCACTCCCTAAGACTTAATAGGGCGGCCCAGGTGCAGGCCACAGGGGACAGGCCCAGCTCTGCTCAGGAACCCCCGACCCAGCTCTGGCTCCCAGCTGTGGGGTTTGGGAGGTTTGGGGTCTGGCCTTTCTAAGCCACCTGTGAACCGAACCTGCCTGCAAGGTTGCCGTGAGGACTGACCGGCCCACATCTGAACACCACGGCAGGACTCAGTCCACACTCCCGAGACCTCTCCACTCAGGTCTACAGATAAACACCAGCTTCCAACAGCCAGGCACCCTTGGGAAGCACGAGGGGCTGATTTCTCTGAGGACAGGCTAAGAAAATGCCAAGTAAACCAGTTGGTCTACATTTTTTTCTTCAAAAGGTACCCTAGAGAGAATTCAGCTAGTTCTGGACCATAAGTCAACAGGGAGGGGAGAAGGGGGAGAAAAAAACCCCTGAAGAATGCCCAACAATGCGAAACAGCAGAGCAGAAAACACTTCTAGCCCTGGCTGGTGTAGCTCAGTGGACTGAGTGCAGGCCTGCGAACCACACAATCGCGGTTTGATTCCCAGTCAGGGAACATGCCTGGGTTGCAGGCCGGTTCCCAGCAGGGGATGCACAAAAGGCAACCATGCATTGATGTTTCCCTCCCTCTCTCCTTCCCTTCCCTTCTGAAGATAAATAAAATCTTAAAAAAAAACAACACTTCTAGTTTGCTTTGCTACAGGTTCCTGGTCCCAACCCCTGTCAAGCCACCCACTTCAGTGGCCCTGGATCCATGAGAGGAAGAAGGATGGGAGCGGAGGGCACCGGGGAAAGTTGACACCCAAGTAGATGATCCCTCTGGGGACCTCTAAAGAAGGGGCTCTGCAGACAGGGTTGGTCAGACCCAGCTGATCCCAACTTTATTTCAAGTTCAAGGGCTGCATCAGAATAAAGCCAAATGATTCCGGGTCAGAAACACACCCCTCCTCAGCCCCCTGCTCACCCCGACCCCCACAGACATACTGGGGCCACGCTCAGGGGGCCTTCTGGGCTGGTTTGGTGCTTTTCAAATTGTGTTCCTGCACCTCCAGGGCCAAAGGATCCAGGCTCTGTGCCCCCAAACCCCAAATCAGAACAGCTCCTGTTTTAACTTTTTTTATTTTGTCCTGCTTTGCACATCCGATTTGTTGAAGAACAGCTTTCCATGGTAAGCATTTCTGAAAAGAAAGAATCCTGGACCAAGTGGTCCCCAGAACGTGAACGCCCTGCAGGTCCGACTCACGGGAATGACTTTTGCTACCTCCCACCAGGCAGAGCCTCCCTCAGGCCTTGAAGAGCCCAGAGGGAACACAGAATGCGTCAGGGAAAGGAGGAGGGGAGGGTGAGGGCCCCCGCAGCTCGTGGGTGCTGTGGACTGTCCTCCGTACACACCAGGCTTGCAGCGGAGGAACAGCCGCGCGGGGGCGCCCCTCCCCGTCACAGCTGCTGGGGACAGGAGCCTGCGCCTGCGCACTCAGGAGCCCTGCGTCTCCAGCCAGTCCCCCTGGTGCAGGATGTGCTGCAGCAGCCCGTTGACCACGTCCAGCGTCTCGTCCTTCTCCAGCACGATGTCATAGGAATCCATGTAGCGCTCCCGCCGCTCCTCCACCTACCAGGGGGTGGGGAGACTGAGAGCCCAGGGTCTGCCCTCTGCCCGTGTCTGCTTCTTGTGCACCTGGGGCTGGGGGAGGGGTGCATTCAAGCCACAGTCCCCTGGAGGAGATCAAGGTCACAGGGCCTGCCTTTTGGAAACACAGATGGCAATGGGCACAGGCTGCCACAATGAACCCTGGGGTCATGGTCAAAAGGACAGTAACCAGGATTAACATGTGAAAACCAAACCTTAGCTCTAAAGTATCTGGACTGAATTTTCACAAAGGTGGAACATTCTGGGGGCTCAGGCAGGTGCAGGCTGAGGGTGAGGGCTGGCAGCCATCCAGCCTGACTTCACACTGTTTTCTGCTGTCGGCCGCTGCTCTGTTCTTATATTTTTGGTCTCTAAATTAGAAAGCCATGTCCTAAAACACTGGCGTCTCCCACCTCAACTGTGCTGTGCAGGTATGTTTCAGGAGGGCTGGTAATCAGCCCGGACACATCCTAAACAAGGTCGCCTTGGGCCAGTTACTTGACCTCCTTGCCTGTCTCCTCATCTGTCAAATGGCACAGCGGTCACTGCCTCAAAAGGCTGTCGTGAGGGTTAAGTGGGTCGGTGTCGCTCACATATGGTGAGCACTTGGCACCTGTGCGCTCTGATGAAATGACTGGCATCGCCCTGTCTCCCAACTCGTTACCCACTGGGTAGCTCCCGTTTCCCTGCGAGAATATGGACCACGCTCCTGAAGAACACGGCTAGTGTCTCGCCCCTGAACCTCCACCACTCAGTGCGGGTCTGGGGCTCAGGTGTCTGGTGAGCATTTGCTGACGGGAACTGGAGGAGGAAGCCCCGGCCCCCTGCTCACCTTGTCATTTAGGAAGCCAATCTTGAGAATGTTCTCCACACCCGGAACCCCATCGGCCATCGTGAGGTCCCCCATGGAGTCTCCCAGCAGGAGGATGTTGGTTTTGCCCTGGAGCTGCTGGAAATAACTGGAGTTCTCGCACACGGAGCTGTTCTTGTTGTATGTGTGTATGAGCTGGCCCTTGAATCCCTGCAAGAAACCCTGGATGATCAGGAAAAGAGACAGATGGGAGGGTTACAGGGACCCATCCAGTGCTGGTTTACCGCCGTCCCTGCTACAGAGGAAAGGAAATCCTGAAAGCTGTAGATAGCACTGACACCTCACTGTAGTCCACACTCGGGGTCGGCAAAGTGGAGCCCATGGGCCAGACCTGAACTATTTCTGTAAGTTAAGAGTTACTGGCACTGCCCCGCCCGTTTATTTACATCTGGCCTGTGGCTGCTTTTCTGCATGGCAGAGCTGAGCAGTTAGTTGCACCAGAGGTCAGATAGCCCATAGAGCCTACGATATCTGGCCTTTTACAGAAAGTTTGCAACCCCTGGTTGAAACTTGTAAACTAACAGGAGCCACCAACTGCTGTCGGTCACCGACTCTGGTGGAAGCGCAAAGCTTGTGACTCAAGCACTGTTCAGGCGACAAGTGTGCTAAGCTCCGCTTCGGGCCACGTCCTTAACCACGGTGCACAGGCGTGGATGTTCCAGCCACTGGTGTTAAGGGGAAGTAGTTAGAATGTGGGTGAGTCAGAGCGGCCCACCTCTGGCTCTAGAAAAACAAGTCCAAGTCCAAGCCCTTGAGGACCTAGAACGGCATGTGACCCATGATAGTGACATGGGGCCTGGTTGAGCCCTAGACTAGGTCCCTGCGGCAGAGAGCTGACTGCTGGCCAAACATCAAAGAGCTGGTCCTCTCAAAGTGACTGTCTTTAGCTGGCATGAATAAATAAATAGCTGCCCAGGGACAAAGAAGCCAGCATGCCTTCCTCCCCCTCTCCTCCCCAGGTGGGGCTTAAGGTTTGGGGGGAAGTACTTTGGCAGGAAGTTCCCGCCCCTTCGCCCGGGTCCAGCCCGAAAGAGACCGGACTCACCTCCTCGTCGAAATCCATGTAGTTGGACACGATGTGGATGTTGGGGTGCAGCACTCTCATCTGGCGGATGATTTCCTCCAGCACGTCCCCGATGCCCGCAGAGAAGATGAAAAGGGGGATGTCGTTTTGGTGGAGGGTGTTGAAGAACGTCTGGTAGCCCTCTCTGGAAAGAGAGGGACGGGTTCTGAAATGGCATCGCCTCTGCTACTGTTCTTTATCTCCTACGCGGGTTATACACGTTCGGGTTTCTTTAAAGACGCTGTAAATTGAGGTATAAAATACAGCACGTGGTTAAAGTGGACTAACTTTTTTAAGATTTTTATTTATTTATTTTTAGAGAGAGGGGAAGGGCGAGAGAAGAAGAGAGGGAGAGAAACATCGACGCAAGAGAGAAACATGGATCAAGGTTGCCTCTCGTACACCCCACAACCACAGACGGGAACTGCAGCTTGGGCATATACCCTGACTGGGGATCAAACTGGTGACCTTTCGGTTTGTGGGACGACACCCAACCCACTGAGCCACACTAGTCAGGGCTAAAGTATACAAACCTTAAGTGCTCAGCTCAATTAATATTGACATATGCATATACCCGTGTAATTAGCAACCAGATCAATGTCCCCTCATGTCCCTTCCCAGTCAATGCCATCCTCCTCTATTCTGAATTCACATCACCATTGATTAACCTTGCCTGTCCTTGAACTTCATATGAATGGGCTTAACCATTTTTGTTTCTGTTCTACAGTTGACTGTTGAATAACACAGTGGTAAGAGGTACTGACCCCCAATGCAGTTGAAAATCCATGTATATTTTGGGGGGGGGCCCGGAAATTTCCTTAGTTTAATCATCCAATTAATTAGGCACATTTTCTATTTTACACATTACTGCAGGTGACCATGTCACTAAATTTCCTGTGACTAAATAATCAGTTTTCCCAGCCTCTAGTCCAGATACAACTTTTGGCTTCCCCAAAACTTAACTATAGTTGTTTCTCGGTAACCCCAGGGTGACTGGTTCCAAAACCCCCACGGACACCCAAATCCACGGCTGCTCAAGCCCCTTAGATACAATGGCACAGCTCAAGGCATACAGTCGGCCCCCCGAGTCTGCAGACTCCTGACTGCAGGTCGGAAACACCGTTTTCGGGATGTGAGAGTGATCTGGCTGTGGAAAAACAGGAGAGAAAATGCTGTTTTCGGTCTGCAGCTGGGTGAGAGTGCAGATGTCAAACTCAGAGGCCCATGTTTCTATGTACCGAAAAACCCACGTGTGAGCGGGCGCACACACTCACACTCCCTTGTTCAAGGCCAGCTGCAGAACGCAGCCAGGCGGCCATCCTGGGGCAGGCTCACTGAGGAACCTACCCAGCCCGGCGCTTACTGGGTCCGCACACATCTCTGCTCTCTTAGCTCTTCATGAGCTAGCGTGTCCCCACAGTGAGGACACACAATCCTTAGGGACATACACCTTCCCCCCACATGTCCCCATCTCTTCTCCAGTCCAGACGCTCCAGCAGAGACTGCTGCTCTGTGAAGGCCCTCAAGGACTGAGGGTCCTGGCCAGCCAGCTCTCACGTCTGGCTAAAGAACACCAGTCACCATGGTGACCCCAAAAGTCTTTTCTTTTAATTTTTAAATAAGATTATTTGTTTGTTTGTTTGTTTATAGGCAGAGGGGAAGGGAGGAAAAAAGGGAGAGAGAAACATCAATGTCTGGTTGTCTCTCAAGCACCCCCTACTGGGGACCTGCCTCGCAACCCAGGCATGTGCCCTGACTGGGAATTGAACCAGCGACCCTTTGTTTCACAGGCCAGCAGTCAATCCACTGACCCACACCAGCCAAGGCTAAAAGTCTTCTTACCATTGGGAAAAATGAGCGAGGTGCTGTTTGTTCTAGGAGAGGCAGCCCTGGTCACATTTACACCACATCCACTACCGGCAGACTGCTTCCGAGGAAGCACCCAAGGGCAGAAAATCCTGCAGCTGTATCCAGGGAGGAAAAGCAAGACCTTGCCCACTTCAGGTGCTCATGGTGCTAGGTCCCCTCTAACTCTCCCAGCAGCTAATTCCTCTCCGATCCTCCCCAGCCTCTTTGTGTGAGCAAACCAGCTTCAAACGTTTCCCACAGCGAGCAGCTTACCGAAGCATCGCATTGGACTCCCTCACCACCTGGGCGATCTGACACTTCTGAATCCTCTGCTGACACAGGAGATCGTGCGCCTTGGTCCACCTAGAAACAAACACCCCACAAAACCCCAAATTCAACCTCGAAGAAATGAAAGTGACCTTTCCCTTTCCAGGGCCAAGTCCCCTCTGGAAGTATTGACAATGGAGGTGGCCTCCTCCTGTTCCACAGAGCCATTCCCTGGAGGACCCTGGTTGTCCATCAAAAAGAAAAAAAAAGGCAACACAACCGAGAGACGACAGGTGGGTCGTCTAACTGCTAAAGTCAAAGGTCACTGAATCCCCCTCCACGGCCCCACTCTGCAGAGCCGGGGGCCCTGTCCAGTGACACTGCTTTCTACAGAAAGGTTATCTCCCCAACGCACTCACTCCCCTGGAGAAAGGGGCTTCTAACTCAGCCCGAGGATTCTGGGTGGGCCCCCGCACTAGTAGCAGCCACAGCCAGAGCCACAGCAGGTGGGCAGATGGCATTCCGTTCAGCATCCAGGAAGGTAAGGAAGCTCGTGATCCCACTGAAGCTCAGGAAAAGTGCGCCCCCTTCTGGACCAGGCCACCCACCGCAAGGGCCAGGAGCTTCCACCACCAGCACCACCACCGCTTACCATTCCACCATGTGAGGTAACTTCTCTTTGATGGTCCGGTGTGGGTCGATTTCAATCGGGTAGTAGTGGTGAAGGAGTGCATTCAGCTGGGGCGACCAAAGGAGGAGAAAAGCCATTAGTGTCCTTGCACTTTCCCCAGCAAAGTCCTACAGTTTAGTGTGAGAAAAAAAATCACCTAGATGGTGCGACTTCGTGTCAGGGAGAGACTGGACCTGCAGCACTAGTCACCCCTTGGCCCTTGCCCAGCAGAGCGGTGGAAGGATCAACCACGAGAAGAGCTGTGCTATCAGGTAAGAGGGCGATTGGATCCTGTTGTTACTGACTAGCTCATTCATCAGGCTTACCCACTACGAACCGATTTAATGCTGTGTTTCCCACAAGGCGGTGCGCTCTCTCAGGTGGGGGGGCGAGCTTGCTTCAGGGAATACATGGACACTTTGTTTTGTTAGTTGTAGATTTGTTTTAATGTGCGTTAGAAAAAAGCTAGCATATCACACTCATGCATTCACGATTATTTCTTTCTTTTGTAAGTTAATCGCATTCAGATTTTTTAAAGCAGATCAATTTTTTAAAAGATACTTAGTGAAAGTAATACATAGATATGGCAAAAAAAAAGACACAAAAACCAAAAAACCCACCAAAATCACAAAAGTGGAACTAGAGGACTGTAGTTTGGGACACAGCGCGTCAGTGGGCGCCTCCATCACTCTGCCACCGAGGGAACACAGGTGCCTCCTCTGGCTTCGGTTCCCTTCCACACACCAGAGCCTCCGACCTCCTGGAGAGGGAGCGTGTCTCACGCAGGGCCAGTCAGCGGCAGTGCCCGATAAACATGGGAATCGACTGGGTATAGAATTGTAATTTTCATATGTGCGTGGTCTCAGAGGATTATGAGATCAAATATTGTCCCTGACCATGGGTCCAAAGAGGGTTAATGCAAAGATCACACATTCACCAGGGCAGACAGCTCCTGAAATGTATTCTCAGTGTGTGCGGGGTTTAATTTGGGGAGGGAGGAGTGAAAGAACATTCCTCTAAAAGTATAATAGAACTCAACAGAAGAACATACTTTTTTTAAAAAGAAAAAGATTTTATATATAAAGTTTGCTTTAGTAGTTTTTTCAGGAGTCTATCAACACCAAAAAAAAAACCCCACAAAAAACCTTACTTTTCTCTGGCTTCCTTATCCTGGGAGAGGGCACTCACACCTACTATTTTTATCTGTGGATGCAGCTTCCTGGAAGCTGATATATCACTTCTGCTAGGAACCGAAAGAAGTGACTTGCTAAAAGCTATCAGTGGTGGAGCCGGAACCTGCCTTATGCTGGAAGTGGCTTTCTGGAAGCCAGGCTTTAGAAATGTAAGAACATGGGTTGCAGGCCGGTTCCCTGCAGGCCACTTCCCAGCAGGGGATGCACAAAAGGCAACCATACATTGATGTTTCTCTCCCTCTCTCCTTCCCTTCCCCTCTACAGATAAATAAAATCTTAAAAAAAAAAAAAAAAGAAATGTAAGAACAATCTATAAGCCACTGCCCATCTCAATACCGAGTACCGTAATCATGACAGAGTATCGGAGGGGCTCACCAATAAGACACACCAACAGACCATTTAATATGTCACTTAGTGAATTTCATAACACGGCGGAACTGAATGATGCAGCTACTCAGCAGAAAGAGCCCCTCAGAGAACCTCCAGCTAGCAGGGCTCTGCCCTGGCAAAGGGGCCTCTGAAGGGAAGCATGCGAAGCAAAGTAGAATGAACTCCAAGGCCACAGGGAGCGCTTTACAATATGTGCATGCATCTTATGGGAACAGAGTTATCGTACAAGAGGCTGACATTAATTCGGAAGTTGTTCTAGATGCTGGTTGCCTAACCCAGAAAACTAACACATATTATCAAGCAAAGAGCATAGCGTAGTGGAAAGAGTTTGGGACAGAATCAGATCCAGGGGAAAGCCGAGCCCTGCATCTTGCTGCGTGACCTTAGGTAAGTGGCCCAACCTCTCCCAACCTGTTTTCTCAGTTGTCAGATGGAGGCAATACTGGTTCTGTTTGTCTCTCAAAGTGGTGGGAGGGTTAAAAAACAAACACTGAAGTTTCTTGTAAACTTTGTAACTAGCAGTGAGCATAATGCCCGGAGTGCAGTTAGTAACTATTGGTCTTGCCAACCAGGAAAAGATGTCTCCTTGTATCAAGACTAGAGGCTCAATGAAAGCCAAAAAAAATTTTTTTAAATAATCTTCCAAGTTCTCTACTCTGTAATCTTTGGTCCTAACCAAGAGCCATTTGAAGTAATAATATATGAGCAAAGAAGGGGGTAACTTGCCTCTTTCCGGCACTCCTCGCTGACGATCCTGCTGTTATCCAGAATGTCTGCAGAAACACAAAGCACCTTTCACTCGCCCCTTACAAGCCGTCCCCTTGGCAAGCTCAGCAAAGCAAGCTAGTATGTGACTTACTGTAGGAAGAAGGACATCGCTTTCCATCGCATGCAAACCTGCTCAAGGTCATGTCAAAATCAGAGATGACCTAGAATGCAAAAGAGAGATGATGCCCAGGCAGACTCCTTCCCACGGGGCCCTGTGTCGGCCTGGGGAAGAAGGTTCGGAGTGCTCAGACTGCGGGCAGAGCCCTGGAGGAGTTAGGGAGGGCTGCCCAGGGCTGTGTTAGTCCTACTTAACACAGTGCCAACCCCAAGGAGGGCCACCGCTGGGGTGGAAGACGCTGAAGAATCAAGACCCCTTTGGCTCTTTCGATAGCACCCATTTCAATGCCCTGGGTCCTTCCTCTAATCACCTCTTTCCACATCTGCAACTTCTTGGGGAGCTCACTGACCCGGGCTAGTGTGGAAAATGAGGCCTCAGGGCCTGGTGTGGGGTGCCGGCTGTCTAATTAGAGGAAGCAGCATGACCTTACTGAGGCATTTGAAATGTAGGTGTTTGGGGCAGACGGGCTCTCCCCCAAGGCAAAACGGGCGAACCGACGGATTGCCCTCAGCCTCCAGTCCATTTCTGAAGGCTGCTGGCTTGCAGGTGCCCGCAGCCACGCGGGAAAGCACACGCGCAGGACGCCTCCACAGCCGCCCCGACCTGCAGGCCCTCGCCCGGCGGTACCTGCAAGCGGTCGCCTCCGCCCCTGCGGAGGGCGCTCACGATCTCCTGCACCCGCCCGGGCTGCCGCATCAGGACCGTGGCCTTCATCAGGGCGCTCACCTGTCCCGAGACCCGAGAGAACCGCTGACCCCGGCACCGCGCAGGGCCCAAGGGGAGCCCGGGACTCGCCTGGGCAACCCCGCGAGGCCCGGCCTGGGGCGCAGGGGCTCCCCGGCCTACTGGCCAGGGTGGCGCGGCACCCCGCTGGGGGTCGGGGCCCGGGCCACGCTGGACCGTGCCTCCAGGCTCACCTCCTCCACCATGACGCTCGCACACGAGCCGCACCGGGACAAGTACCGCCCCCGCGACCTCACTGCGCAGGCGTCTTCGCCAGAGCCAAACGGGTTGAGGGGGGGGGTGGCCCTTGGGGACGCGACACCGGCGGGCCCGGGAGGCTGTCGCGCGCCAGGCTGTGTTGAGGAGGGCGCCGGTCCCACGGAATTGGAGTTACTGGATGCTGCTCTTTCTAGAGCCAAAACCACAACACCCATGATCATTTCCGGGCTTATAGTTTGCACGACAAGAAATAAAAGTAAAAAAAGCCGCAGGGTGGGAGGGGGTGTGAAGGAGCCATAAAGCGAATTGTTAAAAATCCGGGAGGTATTTCTGGTCCCTCTCCTCATCAGGAGAAAATGAGTGACTACCTCATGTCCAGAGGGCAGGAAGGCCCTGGACACACTGGGCAAGAATGAAATTCTAATAAGTTTTATTTTTCCTTTCTGCCTCCTCTTGCTTTCCTTGAACTCCGGGTTGGGGAGCCAAGCGAGGACCTGCTGAAGAGGGCGGATGGACAATGCTGCAGGGATGGAGCTGGGCCACAGGAATCAGAATTAACAGAAACTCGTAGCATGTGGGTAGTCCCAGTCCCACCCTGGGTACAATGGAGGTGTGGGGTGACTGTCAGCCTAACAGTGTGGTGGGGGAGGGGAGGAGGAAGGGGACAGGGACAGGAGAGGGTTCCAGAACCTGAGAGCACAATCCTGAGGGTGATCTCACCGCAGGCCCAGGATTCTGGAACTTGGGCTGCCCGATAGACCCTACATGAAAAATGTAGTAGGGACAAGGAGCGACAGCTGGCTAAAGGGCCCCCCCAGAACCCTCCTGACCCCCTGGGGAGTGCAGCCTGTCTCAGCTGGTCCCGGGGTGCCATGGAGATGGAGAGCGGCGCGGCCTCCACCCGGTTCCACCAACCTCACATGGAGAGGAAGATGAGTGCGATGACCTGTGAGATCTTCAACGAGCTCAGGCTGGAGGGCAAGCTCTGCGATGTGGTCATCAAGGTCAATGGCTTTGAGTTCAACGCCCATAAGAACATCCTCTGTAGCTGCAGTTCCTACTTTAGGTATAACAGGGCAGCTAGACCAGGCCAAAGCAGGGGTTGGGTGCACCTGGAGACTTCTTGCTTTATTTCAGGTTTCCCGCCCGGCCATCTTAAGTTTGGGGACACCATCAAAGCTCTGGGTTCCCTGTAGCCTTTGTCACCCCAAGAGGCCCGACCCTCTTCTGACTGAACACCAGACCTCTCTCTGGGGTTCAACTGGATTTCGACCACCTACTGGTGGGCCAGCTGCTTTCCCCCGCTTTGACTCTCACTCACACCAACCTTTGGGAGAGTGAAGCACCTATACCGGGTTTCCTGCTTGAACCTAGATGGCAGCCACTTCCGCCTCCCCTCTGCCCCTATTCCAGCACAGACAAGCTCAGACAGGGTGGTCAGGTAACAAGGACTGAGGGGATGGGAAGGGGATGCAGGAAAAAAGGGAGTTCGGGCACCAACCATTGTCACCCAGGAAATAAAAGGGCTGTTTTGCTCATGAGCTTCGAATGTCTGAGTAATCCACTCCTATCCAGATACGGGGTGTCCCGCCCGTTGCTAAAAATTCCTTTCTGGGTCTACAGCAGAATGTACAGAAAGCCCGGACGGCACATGCTTTAGCTCTGCAGGCCACCTGTCTCTTTCTCGTGCAACTGCTCCGCTCCGCCTCTGGAGCAGGAAAGCAGCCCCAGTTAACACTGAATGGAAGGGCAGGGCTGGGTTCCAGGGACATTATTTATGGACACCGATTCTGAACTTATTCTAATTTCCAGGTGCTGGGAAACACTCTTCTCCTCCTCCCCCCCCCGTTTAAAAAATGTAAAAAACCACTTTTACGTCATGGGTAGTACAAAAAGAGGTGGGTGGAGTCTGGCCCAGTGGCTATATTTACAGACCCTGCTCTAGAGAAAACTTTGACCTCTAAGCCCATATTTTCTTCAACCCCCCCTAGAAGAGGGGAGCAAAATATATACTAGGGCAGGGAATTCTGTCTTGTTCAACACCTGGAAAAGTAGTCAGCTGCATAGTGTGATAGCAGTCCCTTATTTAGTCAGTAATTATTTATTGAGTGTCTACTTTGTGACAGGGACCCTAGTGGGTACTGGAAATAAAACAATGACTAGAGACTCACATTCCCGTTCTCATGAAGCTTATCTTCTGGTAGGGAGAAGAATGGGCTTTAAACTAGTAAGATACATACCAGATTGTAAGGGCCAAGGAAAAAAAGTAGTGGCTGGCAATTCTAAATAGGATTATCACTGTGCTGACGAAGTTCCATGTGAGCTAAGGCTTCAAGGGAATGGAGTGAGAAATCCAGAAATCCAGGCAGAAGGAATGGCAGGGAAAGGACCCAGGATGGAAGCATTTCTGGGGCATCCAAGGAAGGGACAGAGTGAGGGGGGCAGGCGGGAGGAAATACCCTCGGAGAGGAGTGACTGGTGGAGATCTCATGTCATGGGGCTTCTGCAGACCCTGGTAAGGACTTCGTATTTACTCTGCAGAAGCAGGGAAGTCAATGGAAGGTTTTTTTATTTTATTTTTTAAAATATTTTATTTATTGATTTTTAGAGAGAGGGGAGGGGAGGGAGGAAGAGAGGGAGAGAAACATCAATGTGAGGTTGACTCTCAAGTGGCTCCCACTGGGGACCTGGCCTGCAACCCAGGCAGGTGCCCTGACTGGGAATTGAACCAGCGACCCTTTGGTTCGCAGCCCATGCTCCATCCACTGAGCTATGCTAGCCAGGTCAATGGAAGGTTTTGACTTGCAGGGGTGTCCAACCTTTTGGCGTCTCTGGGCCATGCTGGAAGAAGAGTTGTCTTGGACCACACATTAAGTACACAGACACTACTGAAAACTGATGAGCCAAAAAAAAAGTTTTTAAGTAAATTTAGGACTTTGTGTTGGGCTGCATCCATAGCCATCCTGGGCCGACACCCCCGCTGAGTTTAAGAGGAACATTGGTGGCTCGGATACAGCTGAAGTCTGGAGCTGCCAGAGCAAACCAGTTAGGAAGTTACTCCCGGTCTAGGCAAGAGATGGTGGTGCCTTGGCCCAAGGAGGTAGCAACAGAAGAGATTAGGTTATGGGCATGTGGTGATTGAAGATTACTTATATTGTTTTTGAAATAAAAGAGATTTTATTTATTTTAAGATAGAAGGGAATGGAGAGAAGAAAAAAAGGAGAGAAACATCAGTGTGTGGTTGCCTCTTGTGCACCCCCCCAACCCCCACTGGGGACCTGGCCCACAACCCAGGCATGTGCCCTGACCGGGAATCCAACTGGTGACCCTTTGGTTTGCAGGCTGGCACTCAATCCACTGAGCCAAGCCAGCCAGGGAGATTACTAATTTTAAACATAAATTGCTCAAGTTTAATTTCCTTAAGCAAGGTAGAGTTTGATGGGCATTGGGCTGGGACAGAAGAGACCTGGGTTTTACTCACAGCTCTGGATCCCAATTTCTCCGCCTGCAAAATCGGAAAGGGCTCTGGTTATCATGAGGGTGATGGGAGTGACCACAGTTCCTGGACGAGTTCTCCTGCCCACTGTGCAAAGCGCAGTCTGCTCTCCCCTCTCCTTCCTCAGGCCGGTTTGTTTCCCATGTGCTCTTGGGAAAACGTCCAAACTCTCCTCAACAAGAAATAAAATGGGGGAAATAAATGATGGCAAACTGGAGAGAAATGGTCCAGTGACTGCTCGTTTGTTTGTTTGGTTTTCCCCAGAGCTTTGTTTACGAGTGGCTGGAACAACACTGAGAAGAAGGTGTACAACATTCCAGGCATTTCCCCCGACATGATGAAGCTGATTATCGAGTACGCGTACACCAGGTCGGTCCCCATCACACCCGACAATGTGGAGAAGCTGCTGGCTGCCGCAGACCAGTTTAACATCATGGGCATCGTAAGGGGTTGCTGTGAGTTCCTCAAGTCAGAGCTGTGTCTGGACAACTGTATCGGCATCTGCAAGTTCACAGACTACTACTACTGCCCGGAACTCAGGCAGAAAGCCTACATGTTCATACTGCACAACTTTGAGGAGATGGTAAAGGTCTCGGCAGAGTTTTTAGAGCTCTCGGTCACCGAACTGAAGGATATCATTGAGAAAGACGAGCTAAACGTCAAACAAGAAGATGCTGTTTTTGAGGCCATTTTAAAATGGATTGCTCATGACCCCCAAAATAGGAAGCAGCATATTTCAGCGTTGCTCCCCAAGGTTAAGTTTAATTCTTTTTTGTGTCTGTGTGGGATGCTGAATTGCTCGCTTTTGATTCATTTATCCAGGGGAGATGGTCCTAAGAACCGTATTCAGATTTGACAGATTCCAGGGCTGTATTTACATACACTTATTTATTTTTTTAAATTAATTTATTATTTTTAGAGAGAGGGGAAGGGAGGGAGAAAGAGGGGGAAAGAAGCATCGATTGATTGCCCTCTGCACCACCCAGCCTTTAATGCAGGCCTATGCCCTAACAGGGAATAGAACCAGCAACCTTTCATTTAGCAGGGCGGCGCCCCATCCACTGAGCCACACCAGCAAGGGCCTACATAGACTTACATAGAAGGCATCACCTACTAGTTTTTGGAACTAGGTGCAATTCTTTGTCCTTGGCATTGCTAGTTCCTTTTATCCCAGCCATATTCTTTGGTCAAAATTCTCTCTGGCAGTGGGGGAAAGAGAGGACAAGGCCTTCAAAACAATTTTTTTTTTCTAAAGGGTCTTCTTTTTCCAAAACCAAG